GAGCCGGAGCTGGAGTTTTTGCCAGAGCAGTGCTGGAGCCAGGCACAGAGCCGGGCCCGTGGTGTATCCCCTACCCCCTGGTCCACATGAGGGCAGCAACCCAGCACTCCCTTGCCCAGCCCAAGGGCACAGCACATCCAGGATGGGCAGAGCAGGGCAGTCCCGCAGAGTCCTAGTAGCGCCCAACTTTGGCATCCCCGATGGCGCCCCACACATCAAAGACGAACTCGTCGGGGAAGGCGAAGTCACCCAGCCGCTCATCCAGCGCCTCCGCGAACTCGTCGGGGTTCCGCTTGTCCTTCCCCAGCTCTACCATGGTGGCAGCTACAGAGAGCAGAGATGGGCGTGGGGGGAAGTGAGGAGCATTCACTGCTATGTTACCTGGGGCAGGACATGCTAGCCCTAGTGCTATCCCACTTCTCCCACCAACAGTGCCAATGCTTCGCCCATCACGACAGCACTGCCATGCCATTGCCAGGAGCCCTAGACACCCTGAGCCCCAGCACTGCCAGCACCAACACGCTGCTCTTGCCCACAGCCCTGGCCGAGGAGGCATGGCAGCTGGGAGGCCTGTGAGCTGAAGGGCTGATTCGCTCTCTCTGTGCCCAGCCCTGCTTCCCAGAACACACTGACAAGCCTGTCTCTGCCACTGCCACAGTAACCCCGGAAATGCTGCTGTGTGCCCCGCTCACCTCTCAGAGAGGGGAGACTTCTCTCCTCACACTAAATGCTGCACACGAGGGATGTAGGCCTCTGGGCCACTAACAGCAGGGCTTGCACTTAACCGCTGGGGAGCGTCCAGCTACTCCAGTCCCAGCCCCTCCCAGCAGGGGTTGCTGCAGGAGGCGGGGCAGGAGCGCTGGCTGTGGGGGAGCTCCCAGCAGGGGGCACTGTAGGGAGCAGGGGAGAAGCACTGGCTGTCCCAGCACGGGGGAGCTCCCACGCTGCCCAGCAAGGATTCCTACGCTGGCTGACCATGACACAGCCCTTCCCCCAACACCCCGATGCTTTGGGCACCCAGCCCTGGGGTGACTTGGGGGCTGCTCGGTAGGAGACTCACCCAGCTCCGTGTCGCGGATGCCCATGTAGCTCTCCAGCAGGTCGTCCACCTTCTCAATCGCCCTCTCCTCAAACGCAGACAGCTGGGGGGCAGGAGAGCTGCTGAGCAGGAGACTGAGGCAAAAATATAGCCACCCACTCACCCCCCAGCCAAGAACCATGGGAAAAGAGGGGCCCTCTAAAGCCTCTTCCAACCCTCCCCATTCCTTGGCAGAGAGGTGTGGGTGTTGGGGGCCAGGGCTGGGATAGCAGGGGGCTGCAGGTGAGGATTGAGGGGCATCGTCAGGGCTGTGGGAGAAGACTGGGAAGCAGGTGCAGTACAAGGATCGTAGTGGGGGGAGCGGCCCCATATGGAGGACCTGTCCCCTCCCCAATCTTGGGACAGCTGGGACCTCAGCTCCCCTCTCATTCTGCTCTGGCTCCCCACCCTCAGTTCCCTCTGGGAAGAGGTCAGGGCCCAAGCGAACATTCAAAGGCTCCCGAGGGCTGTAAGGAGAAGCTCTCCAGGGCTGGCACCTACCTGCTCCTCCACGGTGGCCGGTCCCTTGGCCCGCAGCCGTAGGGTCCCTCTGCCAGTGCCCAGCTGGGAGCTACTGTTGTGCTTGCCCCCTGCGGCCCGCTGGCTGATCATATCTGAAACACAGCAAGGGACGACCCAGTGAGACCATGCCAGAGGTGGGGCAGTCTCATGCTGGCCTCGCAGCCCAGAATCCCAGCAGCCAGCCCAGGGCACCGGTGCAGCCAAGTTAACAGCCACAATCCAGCAGGAAGTGGGGCCAGATATCAGACACCACCACCTGGGCACAACAGGCAGAGGGTGCTTGGGAGGCAGCCAGGGCCGGGGTAGTGCGTGTTGTGCTGATGCCTCAATCCCAACTCAGTGTGTGTGGATAGCTGGGGGCTGGGATTGAGGGGCACCAGCGGAGCTGGGGGAAGGGAGCCCAGGGCTGGAATAGCTGGGAGTTGGGATTGGGGGGCCCAGCAGCAGAGCTGCGCGGGGAGCCGGGGGCTGGGCTGGCCGGGGGCTGTGGGCAGGGGCCAGCAGCAGAGCTGCGTGGGGAGCCCGGGGGCTGGGCTAGCCGGGGGCTGTGGGCA